CCATAAAAATGAAATGAGGTAATAAAATATGGCAATGAAAATTTGTCATATATTTGCTTCATTTCACTTCTTCGGCCTTTTCACAAAAACAAACATATTTAACAATAGAATTTGTGCACATTACAGATGCGTTTCGTTTCGTGTTTTTTTTCTCCTCTCTACTGCATTTTCGTATAACAATGCGTAATTGATGCGCTCTTACACATTGTTTTTACCGTCTGACATGGTTTTCTCTTGCTCTACGTGTTACGTTCGACTTTTTTTTTGAATATATCTCTCTTTCTCGTTGTTGCAATATTATTATTTTTTTTTTGCAACGGCAAATATGTCCTTGACGATTGTGCAAAGACACAAACACCATACGATCCACTTGGTATGTATATTGAATGCGAATAAAGATAACGATTTCTCCTTCATTCTTCTGGTTCGTGCGAATTTTCGTTGGTTTTTTTCTCTGGTCTCTTTATTGTATTTGATTTTATTACATCTTCGCATTAAGGACATTGTTTTGTCGATTCGGCACCGATTTGCAACAGTTTCGCAACAACAAACATCACATTCATCGTGTTCTTTGGGACGGAATTTTTTTTTATCTCGATATTGTCGCAATAGAGAATGTATTCAATGATATGCCTATATTCAACTATCTGATTCTTATGCAAACTGTAAATGGGTATCAAGCAAATACTTTTTTGACTTTTGTACTGTCTACCTGAAGCCGAAAATCGACGAAATGGCGCGACGATGATATTGAGCACTTTCAAATATCTACATATATTTTTAAACCAATTTTAAAATATCCTTTTAAAAGTCATAAATTAAATAAAACAAAGTGTTGAATTTGTAACAACAGTGTATTTTTAATCGATTACCTCATAATAAATTATCGAAATGTGAACAAAATGAAAGATTACACACATGCGAAAATGAAAATTCTCAGCTTAAAATTGAGCAAAAAATATACGAGCAAAACGAAAGAGAAAGAAATGTCATTATTGATGGTGATGACAAGAAAAGAGAGCCGCTCGCGCACGAGAAATTTATGATCGTATGGAAAATTAAACGTCCATTAAAAATGCAATAAAGAAATGTAAACATCTTTAATAAGTACATAAGTAACAATCGAGCGACGCGCAATTCACAATTTTGTTGCGGCAACAAACAAACAGAACAGAAAGACAAAGATTCGAGAATTACAGGCAGAAATAAACAAACCGAAATAAGTAATGGTAACAAAAAACATGCTTTTTTCCACATTTAAATGAGATATATGTATATATATCATAATATGAAATTGAACCACGGGTCAAAGTCGTGATGTTCATTTTGCACTTGAAACAACAATTTCATTTCGTTGGCGATGCCTTTTTTGTGTGAGCATCGTGTATTGTAAAAAATAGCATGTATTCGATTTTCTCGCTATGCTGAGACAACGCAAAAATGACCAATATATAAACTTGTTACGTAAATCGACACTGATTGATTCAACAGACGGATCGGCGTTTTAATGACATTCATTGCTGGCAATGATATAGAGCTGTTTGATCGGAAATCAGTTGAAGTGAAACATTACTTCAATGAAGTTCATTTGTCAATATAAGAAAGAGTAATAACTAGTCGTGATTTAGTTTTTTAAATATTTTCTATGATGAAGAACTGAGAATGAATTTATTTCTTCTTTGCAAGAACTTTTATTTTTGTATGCAGATATTGATTGGGACTTTATTTCGAGAAGTAAAAGTGTTTTTTCACAAATGGCCGAACCAAATTCGTTTTATATGCATCATCCAACTTGAATTATCCCATTTACAAAATCCGTGAATAATGTTGAAACCATCATATTGCTCTTCCCATTGTCATTTGTTGTTTAAAATCATTTTTAACTTGATTAAGTGTGGTCATTAATCGAATGGCCAGTTGCCGAGTGCATTTCATAAGAAATGGAGAGAACGAAACAAATGACACACACCAAAACCAGCCAATTGAAATAATGTGTTTCGAGTGCTCAACGATTCAGATATATTGCCTTTGGTCGAAGAATAATGTGTGTGCACCATTATTCTTGTGGTCGTTGGTGTTTTTTTTTGTATTTATTCACATTCTGCAGGTCCTTTTAATGAATGTGCGTTGTTGGCGATACTTAATCTCACACTTAATATGTGAACAAATTAATAAAAATATAAACCAACATGTAAAATGAAGAAAGAACAGCACCAAGCAAGCAAACAGAAAAAAATGTATCGGATGGAAATGACATAAGCAAACACTTTATAAATTGTCGTTAAATTCAATGTATTTATCTCTGTCAAACAGTACACATGCATACACAATGTTGAATGAAAAATGAGCGTCGAATGATGCGACTATGGCTACGTGTGTGCTGTTTTGTCCATTGCGCGCGGCGAAGCCATATTTAGGCGGTTTTTATTTGTTTGTGGTCGTGACTCTCTCACTTCTGCAATCCTCTGCAAAGTTGATTCTCATGTCACTATTATCAATGTTCTGGCCACATGATACTTTTTTTTTCCAACTAATCGAGAGAAAAAAATTCTGAACGATATATTGCTTTTTCAGTTCTAGCCAAAGAGATTAATAGATTTTTTAATCTTATTTTTTTTTTGTATATGCCAGCCAATTTCGCCGCAACAAAAGAGCCTCGGCCATCAATTGATAAACTCTCTTTATTCGCTCTCTATCCCTCTCTCTCTCTCATCCTCATGCGCCCAGCACTGAGTGATCGATCTTTTTAATCACCTCACTTTTAAAATGTTAAATCTTGATTGCTTTTATGCATGTGTGAGCGAAAAGGATTAGGACCTTTGTGATGCATGATTTATGTGAACACAAACTCTTTTTATTTTCTTTATTGAAATTAATACTTTTTCAGCCATTTCTTTATCGTCTCTTTCCGTTGAGGACATTTTGATTTGAATTTCTTTCGTTACACCACAATTGGTTGAATTCACTTCATCCATTTCGTTCTGCGGTAAGAAATTGGCTTTTGTTATATTTCGTCTTTCCATCGTATTTATTATATTACTTAATGTGGCGTATCGAAAGTGTTTTGCTAATTTCAAGCAATCGAAAATACGCATTGCATAGAATCACGTCACTCAATCTCTCTTTCGTCTCGACTACTCTTATGATTTTGGTCCCCCTTTCATTCTGTACATCCTATGTACAATCAACCTTTTCGAACTTTATATTCCCAAAGGGTTTTTACGGATCTGCAATCTGCTTGTATTTTGTCGTTCAATAAACTTGTGAATTGCCTACACACGTATTTCGATTCAAGTCACAATTCTCTGTGCAACATAATACGAAGCGAATCATTTGAACGCTAGAAATATTCAATGCAGACATTTATTTATTGATCGATTGACCACAATAGTGACGAAATCCATTTAAATTGAAACATATTAAATTTGAAAATGAAATGTGAATTTTCTTCAATAAAATCACTTCATTCAAAGTAAACATTTTTTTAATTTGTTAGAATAGCAGACGACCTTAATTTCAATTCTCAATTTATTTTTTTCAAGAAAGCTGAAAACACCAAACACTGATTCAACTTGAAACTTAATTAACCGCCGAGAAATGGTGTCGACAAAGTGAATTTTCATGTAAAATGCGAAAACTTTTTCGCAAAGAAAAAATGGCGTACAGACAAATTAAGCCAATAACAACAACAAAAATTATGCTGCACGCCACACCGTAAAAGCTTGATTAATTAGAATTTTGCGAAACGCATATGTTTTTGAGCCGAAATTGAAAATGGTGTAAATCATAAAAATGTATGTTTCGTGTATGAACATCTTTACGCGCCAAAAAGGAATTTGTTTTTCCAACTCAAGAACCATCCACTTGGTATAATACAAAGTGATTCAGTCAATTTTATAAATTTATTACAAATTCGGTTGAAATATGAGCGTCGGAGCATTCGGAGTGATTAAATGGATTAGCTTATAAAATATATAAGTCGACGGAAACATGCATAGAATTTATTCATCGAAAATTTACCAAGATTAAAAACTCTCCGTTGCTTCTGCATTATTGTTGTCGGAGCTAGGCCTTTGGAATTGGAATTGTATGTGTGTGTGCTTGTGTAAGTATATTGTGACTTCATAAATAGATTGAGGTTGTATTCCGAGATGTTTGGTGCAGATGATAAAATTATACATATTTTGCGTTGAGAGAGAGTGCGATGATATGAGCGAAAATATTTGAGGAGATTGTCATGGGCGCTGCGGTAGTCACACGCTCACCGAAAATCTATGCATACAAAAGTTTTTAACCAAATACCGCTCGGTACTTTCACACATGACATTATAATATAAATTTATTCTCATCCCGACGGGATAACTCAAAAATTATGCTTTTTTCTATATCCCTCTCTTTTGCTCGCATCGAATGTTTGTATGTGTATGTTTTGATGTTTTGTTGCTATTTCAGCTGGCGCTGATGTTGTTATTATCGACGTCATTCCTCTTCCTCACTCGCTCTTATCGTTGTTGGATTGTTTCTAACTCATATTCTACATGTCGTGTATTTCAAATAAAACGTAAATGCATATACGAACAAATTTTGCGTGTCGTTTGCTTCGCCCCAAAAACACAATTTAATTAAGGAAGACATGGATGTAGCATTAAAAATTGTTCTTGATTAAGACAAGATCTTGTTGACATGCAAAACAAAATCATAACGCATAAAATCTACATTTCAAAACCGAAAAACGGGTATTGTTGGCGTTAAGGGGCCTATATGAAAATTTTGATCACAAATAAAAATCTCTGGCATGAACGAACAAAATAGATGAAAACTAAACGTGTGAACATGTATCAAAGTATTTTTTTTTATTTTATTTTAGAACCTTATTTTTATCTCATGGATATACGAATGAAATCTGATATTTTCAACGAAGAAGATGAAGAAATTTAAATTCAAACTGAATTGAATGGTTGTTATTGAATAGCATGCAAAACCAAATGATCTAAACTTACCCAAAAATAAAAATCGTCTTGAATGTTGTCTTCTGTTGATTGCTGTTGTTCAATGATTTGATATTGTTCACTTCGAAATATGAATTCACTTGCTTGTTTATCAAAAAAGGTAACACGTAATTTGTTCTCGATTGCGTAAAATGATAATTTTCCCACCGATTTCAAGTTTAGATTTCGCACCGGAATTATTTTGGCGAATCCACACGGTTATGTGAGCAAACAGTCGCGTTCATACACTATTCAATACACTGTGTCTAAAATCCACCGGGGATTTGTAATAATCATGCGATCAACTGCAAAACACAAGACCATCAAATTGATTGCAAAACGTGCAATTGTTGCGATAAAATTCAAGAGTTTAATATAAAACAGTATCAGTGATCTGATTCTTGAAAATGTCTCTGTTCAAATCGTGTGATTCTGTCTGTCTGTCGGGTGATTAAAAGTAATTGCACAATTCAAGTAATAAAACTCATTCAAACTGTTTTTTTTATTGCAGTGAGAATGGTCTTTTAGTTTCAGTTCATCAAATTGGTTGCACTCGATGGAAAATGAGATGTTTCAATCTGTAACAAGGAAAATAAATGTTGTTTTCTCTTCCTCTCTTATTATTCTCACTCTTCACTTGCAATCATTTAATTGTCTTAATATTTATGCGTTCTTTTAAAATTTGAAGTACTTTGCTGCTCCAAAAAAAAAAATGGTATTTTAATCGTTGTGCTTTTCAATTATTTGTTCAAGATATGAATGTCAGGCATTCATTTATTGCAAAAATGACCAGATCGTTTTATCATCATTTTCCGGGAAAAAAAATATTATTGGTTTTTAAATTTATATTCGCTGATTTATTTAATTATTGCGGAGGAAAAGTTGTTGAGCGAAAAAAAACGCACAACATTCAAAAGAAAAAGAATCGTACGAAAACTGCGATCTCGGATATATATTGTACCGATATTTCGTTTCGATGCGCTGGTTTGTCTGATGAGATGTTGATTTCTTTACGACTTCTATCAAACTAAACCCATAAAGCATTCAATTCACAGTGTGATACATGTGAGAGTCGAATCGAGTTTGGTGTGCCACAGTTCCTCTCTATATACAAAATAAACCATACATATAACATAGCAGAGTATACACAAAGCACACACAACAGCAAGCACATCAGATGAAACAGTCTGATCGCAATATAGAAGAAAACGGCGAACGATGTGACTACGGCGTACACAGTTTCGAATGTAATAAAAAACCCTTAATCCTGTATAGTGCCGTACACCACACTGCTTCTCGTTCTTTCTCTCTTGCTCTTTCTCTCGATCGATGTGCATACGAAAAGCAGACGATACGCGAAATATAAAATAATAGTAATAATATCAACAATATTATATATAGTATAGTGGATGACGTTTATGGATGTATTGCTCTGTGTGAGCATAGAAAGAAAGAGAGCGCGTGTTTTGTACGGTTTTCTCGGAACGCTTAAATGTTTGTGCCTTTTTTCAAATGAAATGATATAGCACACGGAGTGAAAAGAACGAGTGCTTTTTTATACCATACACACAGCGTAACATATATTTTACAAAACGCCGCACCGAACAATTTCACATGGCATTTTCATGCCTTTCGGCTCTCTAACTTTCTTTTTTTTGTTGTTGTTTCTTTTGCTCGTGCGCCCGCAATTTTTTTTATAGCTTTCTTTCTCTCACTCATTTGCACCGTGTGGCGGATGAAAACGGATGGTCAAAATGGATTGTTTATGTGTTCGCTAACGAAGGGCCTACATGTGACTCTCTCAATTTATTGGTGTATTTGTGACCGAGACTACTGAAAACTATGATTTCAGGTACACCAATTGTGTGTGTATGTATGTAGAAGGGCGCGCGCGATGAAAAACAAAGTGGCAAAAATATAATTTAAGCGTGCACACACCACGTAAATGTGGAAAATTTGCATTTCACCCAAATAATATAAATTGTGATAAAATGAAGCTGGTTTCGAAGTGAAAATTGATTAAAATATCGATTTAATACCCACGATTAAAATTCTTTACAGAATTTGGAATATATTCAAATACGGGCATGTGTGTGTACGTATGCATAAAATAAAAGATGTGAATGGATAATGATAATTTCAATTTAAAACATAATTTCGCCATTCTATTGTTCTTATCAATTGGTTGATAAGCGCATTTAAGCCCAATTTAAAATGATCAAGCATTTTTGTTACATAATACAATTGCGGCCAGCAGCGTTGACTTCACTTGTTCTTTATCCATTTACAATTTTCAAAAGAATCACAAATATATATGATGATTTTTGTTTATTACACCTGAAAACAGAAGTGCAAACATATCAAAAATGAAGAGAGAGAAAAAAAAGTGCACACAACGAAATTCAAGAGCGAAAATTAATCGAAGCGAAAATTGTACACACACCGTAAATAAATGAAATTGCGTGTTGATGCTCCGTTTGGCATTCGAGTGTAAATTCAATTCAAATATAACATTGTGGAACGTAACATACAGTGTGTCACGGCGCACGATTCACAAATGGAAACAACAACAGCAGCAAGCAACCAAGCAGCACCAACAGAGAGCAAAGCACACCAGTACTGCAATAACGACTGATTGCCATTTGAGAATTTATGTGTGAGCGGCGAAAAAGAGACAACAAATAGGAGGAGCAAACTCATAAACCATTTTCATTTTCGTTGGTACCGTTTATTCTTCTCTTTTTCTTCTACTACATGCTTCGTGACTACGCTCCGCTGTCTCTATATGTGTTTGAGTGTGTGTATTTTTTTTTTTTCGTTCAGGGGCCCTTTTTGTGTTCCGTTCCCTCTCTTTCTATCGTTTGCACTTTTTTCCTCAAACACTCATCGTCGTATTCGTCGCATAATTTGCGTTGATGCTCTTTCATCTTATTCAGTTCGTGATACTGTGAAGGGAGAGAAAGATGAATGTGTGTATACCTCATTTGTCTAGCATGCGGTGTTGCTGTGTGCACACGAATGGGACAGACGATAACGGCAACAAAAAACCAGAGAGAGAATCTAATGGAAAAAAAATGTGTATAAACTAGACACCAATGGAAATTTATCGTTGTTAGTCGAATCGCCGCACGCGGTTGTGTGTGCATGCGTATTTATTGGTATGTTTGTGTTGGTGCGTTCTTTTTTGTTGCGTTCATGAATTCTATTTGATTTGAAATGCGTGAACGTTATTGCGTAGTTATTTTGATGGATTTGGTGTGTTTCAAATTCTGTATGGTAACTCGGACTTGTCGGTTCGGTTGATGCGTTTGAATCTTGCAAATTGGTGTTTGCGTAACTTATTTCTCTCCCTCGGTCGATTCTCTTCGCACTGTCTTTCGCAAAGCGGACGTTGCTGCTGCTGCTGTTGTTGTTGTTGTTTTTGTTGCACGCGGCTGTTTTGCCCATCATATACAGTTGCTCTTCTGAGTTATTTATGTGTGAGATTTTTTTCTGCCATATTCTCTTCACACCGTTCGCTTACTCACTTAGTGTTGCGCTACATCGAAACAACCAATTCAACTCGAAGCTCGATGAACACTCCATGAATGAAGAGAACACCAAAATAGAACCGAAAGATGTGTGTAGATGGAATAAGAGAGAGAGAGAGAGAGAGAGAGAGAGAGAGAGAGAGAGAAGGAGAGATAAAAGCCGTATGTGAGCCGTGTGTGCGCCATGTGAGAATGATGAATTAACATTGGATGAGTTATATTATTGTCGATGCGATGAACACATGTATAAACTTGCACACACAAAGCGATTCGCATCGTCGTAAATCGGCACGGCGTTTTGAGTGCGACGCGTTTGTATTTCTATAGCTGAAAATTGTGTATTGCCGCGAACAAAATAATATTCGTATGTGTGAATGCTTGCATGTGTTTGAGAGAGTGAAAAAGGAGTGCGCGCGTGTGCGCTCGCCCGAACGATGCGCGCCACAATGAAATTTATTGTGTTCACGATTTATATACATCGGCACAAGTTGAAATAAATAAAAACATACATCGAACAATTGTTTCGTTCATTCGCTCGATGATTTGGGGGAGAGAGAACGAGTAAGAGAGAGAGTGTATAGCAGCAGAAGCAGCAGCAAACAATAAGCATGCGACCGCGCATTGAACACGGCCATTTGTAGAAGTGTGTACTGTGTGTTGCGTTTATGTGTTATGCGGCTATAATTCGTTGTGATAGTTTATGGTTCATTCTCTCACTCACTCTCTATACATAAATAGTCAAATGTATAGCCATGTATAGTGTGCCATAATTGTGGCATCTCGTAGCAGTAGCACACAAGCTATGAGGCGGCTGATTTATTATATAAACCCACGAAAACGAACATCGAACACTTTTGTACTGAATAGTTTCTCTCGTTTTCATTGTATGCATTTTTTCTTCGTTCTTTTACATTTTTTTTGTTCATGTCCAATTCAAATTTTAACAGTGTATCGTTTACACTTAATCAACCAATTTTTTTATGTGAATGTCGTCGTCGTCTCTGTTACTACCTTACGAGCACCAAATTGCAGTAAATTGGAACTTCATTCACTTTACATGCAGCAGTCATTTCACAGAACATTATTCAATTTATTTGTATGATATCTTTAGTCTATAAGGAGTGAAACATGTAAATTTTCTTGTTTTCATAAGAATTATTATCCAATTTGATGCAAAACAAAAAGATAACTTCACATGCGCTTGAAGAAGCTCATTGTATCGTTTAATGGTCATGTTGTGTGAAGAATCGTTTCAGTTAACCGGCTATGAATGTGAGAAAAAGGAACCGTTCAATTGAATTTGACTCTATCAAAAAGAGTAATTGCATTTCGCAACATCCATTCGATGAACGCCGTTTAAAGCAGCATTTATAGTTACAGCTGATTTGCATGGTAAATGAAATAACACGCTAACATAACGATTAAACTTTGTTGGTGCAATAACTTTTCGTTAACGGCTAATTGATCGCCGCAGTTGAACACATAGTATAGTGCTTAAATTGAGCATGCCGTGCCATGTGATTTGGTTTTAAGTATAACTACAATTTTTATGTGCCGTTGAAGTGTTGATGGGGTAATATGGCTTCATATTCAAACGCAACCGAAAACTTTCAATAACTTGGAAACAAATAAAAAAAAAATTATACGATTTCTGGTCGATGCATTTTTTTCCAATTGGTTTGGTGATGAGTGCGAAGTAGCATCATTTGTCATATGTGGAATATTGCACCCTTCTTTTTACGCTTCGAGATCGGTAATACCATCAGAAGTTATTATGGTTTTTATTGCTTTTTTCTCTCATTTTCTGACTCGAAATCTCTTCGTTTTCCAATCCCTCTTCCTTTCACTTTCAATCTTGAATTATGATGCCATTTTTTGCCATCGATTTTAAATCACATAATTCGTGAGATTTCAATTTTACCACGAGATTTCATAGCAGAAGGTACTCGACGAGAGTTGGGTGCCAGCGAAACAGTTGCCGCTTTTTTGGAAACTTATATTGCGCCTCACTATCATTTTGTTCACACATTTCAAGTGGAACCACAATCCAAAACAAATAAACATAGAAGAAACATTAGATTTGAAAAGCTTCTATCAAACTCTAATGCGCCGACACTTGAACAACTCAGTAAATCAGCTTGATTGTTTGTTGTCCATGGAGAATTGAAACGCCATCGCTGTCAAACTTTATCGAACAGCTATTAAGCATAATCTCATGCAATAAAATCGAAAAGAAATGAAAACGAAGAAAAAAACTTATGAATTTGTTCGATTATTTATGTGAGAAGCAGTGTGTAGATGCGGTTACGCAATAACTATTTTCGAAAGATAACCATGATGAATCCCATTTATTCATAAATCGGAACCACCCCAAAAAAAATATCAAAACAATCCCGGTCCGGACGACAAAATAACATAGAAAGAGAAACGGCCAAAAGAGAAAAAAGGACAGAGAGAAAGAGAGTATCGGAAAAATATTCGT